CAATCCAGCTATTCCATGGCTGGGTGTTTATCCAAAGAACACGAAAAGATGCATGAGTAGAGATACACGCACCCCTGTGTGCACTGCAGCGTTATTCACAACAGCCAAGACTTGGAAGCAACCTAAGTTCCCGTCAAGGGATGAATGGATAAAGAAGATGTGGTATATATACACAATGGAGTACTGCTCAACCATAAGAAAAGATGAAATCCAGCCATTTGTGACAACATGGATGGACACTGAGGGTATAATGCAAAGTGAAATAAGTCAGAGGGTGAAGGTCAAATACCATATGATCTCACTCATAAGTAGAAGATAAAAACAACAACAAACAAACACAGAGACAGCAATTGGTTTGGTGGTTACCAGAGGGGGAGGGAGGGAAGAGGGTGAAAGGGATGATTAGGCACATGTGTGTGGTGATGGATTGTAATTAGTCTTTGGGTGGTGAACATGATGTAATATATGCAGAAAAAGAAGTATAATGATGTACACCTGAAATTTATATAATGTTCTAAACCAATGTTACCACAATAAAGAATAAACAAATAAATAAAAGCCACCAGTTTTAAAGAAAAAAAAAAGGAAACCAAATATTAAACAACCCAGTTCACATTCTTTATTTTAATATTATATAAATTTTTATTTACATATCAGTAAAAATGAATTTGATGAACGTATTACCCCTATCTGTTTAGAACATTCCCCAAATGTATAACAACAGTACATTTTCCTCCCTTAAAAAGTGGAGCATAGGGCTGGCCCGGTGGTGTAGCTGTTAAGTTCACTTCGGCGGCTCGGGGTTCGCAGGTTTGGATCCCGGGTGTGGACCAATGCACCGCTTATCAAGCCACACTGTGGCAGATGTCCCATATAAAGTAGAGGAAGATGGGCATGGATGTTAGCCCAGGGCCAATATTCCTCAGCAAAAGCAGGAGGATTTGGCATGGATGTTAGCTCAGGGCTGATCTTCCTCACAAAAAAAAAGTGGAGCATTATTTTATGTTATGTATATTTTACACCACAATAAAAACAAGTGGAGCATAACTACCACAACTTGACCTTTCCTTTTTTTTTTCTTTTTTTTTTTTT